CAAACACAAAGCCCCCCCCCCCCCAACCGCAGTCCTTACTCACTTTCAAGAATAAATTTGTTGCTCTTTAAAGCCACAAATGGTAAACAGCACAGTCCATAAAATTAAAATCAATTGGCAAGCAATGAGATACATAAATGATAAAAGTCACAAAAATCATTCAACCAAGGACATCAAGTTTGAGGACCAGAATTTGGCCTAAGCTAAAATCAAGCTGTCATTATCAGATCAGAAATCAGATGCTCAAGTGGTCAAAAGGAGAACTTAAGACGAATCAAGCTAATGATCTTGTAGCAGTCACACAGATGTCATAGTGAAAATATCAGACAAAAACAGAAGTAGTGAAAAACAAAACAAAAAACGATTAGATAAAAATGTTAAGCTACAACAATTATAAAAAATGATATGGTCAAAGAAATTTTTATATGTGAAATGCCAGTGTGCTTGACACAAGGATGATGAAAACCAAAAAGGCTTCAAGGAGAGATAGCTGGCTTTTGGTAAAGAAAGACAATAATGGAGAAAGGAAAATAAATAGATAGATATTGTAGTCTTACCTTTAAAGTTTCCCATGCAGCTGCATGTGCTTCTGGTGTCTGTAAGATAAAGAAATGTTTACCAGGGGAAACTTTTTCACCAGGATACAAAATTCAACCTGCAAAATGCCATTAGCAAAAAGCAAGGATTCAATACCGATTTTGCACTGTCTTCTTCAAGATCAGAAGCTGCAATCCAATCAATTGATGGCTTCAATGAACATGCGATGCAAGCATGTAGAAGGGCCTGCAAGCAAAACAAAGCATAACAGTAACTAGTGAGTCATGCTAAGAAACAAACACATAAAATTTCTAACAAATTAACTATCATCAAACATTGAATGTGCTAATGTGTCATTCATTGCCCGCAAAAAGTCATCCATACAATGCAAACCCATTATAAACAAAATAACTTCCAGTGAATGTTCAAATTTGAAGACGTCTTCACTGTGTTGGCACCTTTGAAGATGTGTGATTAGAAAACATTTTATAGTCAGATTAAGACAACCTTTAAGCCTTAGAGTGGTCATGCACAGTTTCAGACTATATGTTACTGCACTTTTTCCTTCTTGCTAAAACTAAAGATCCAAAAATGTGATGCACCTTAACAACAGACAGGTATGAATCTGTTAGGCCAACATACTTTCCCACCATCGCAATCCTCACCTGCATTCAATTGCAACTTCTCACCTCAGGAACAATAAAGAAATAATCAAAGAGAATTAGAAGTTGTTGATGATAATACTGACAGAATTGGTGAGATTATCATAAGTCTCAGCCATCATGGTCCAATCTTGTAAAGCAGGAGGCATCGCAATGCTGAAATAGAGAAATACAACAAGTTAGCTAATATGATAAATCTTCAAGCACTTGGTGTCTGGATCAAAAGTCACAATGCATTTTGTTTCTGGCAGAGTACGCTCAGTATAATTACAACTTAACCAATCCCTTGGACACAAGTCCCAGGTAGAAGGGGAGAAACAAAGAAATAATCAACTAAAACAATTTGAACTTGCTATAATAAAAAGTTTTTTCGTTCCAGTAGATTCATGAAAATGTTCAAGGTTGAGATAGATAGGTACTGTACGTCCATTAATTAAGCCTTTGATGTGGAGAAACTTGAATTAATGTTTTAAAATTGAGCCTTTGATGTGGAGAAACTTGAATTAAACTAACCTGAGTAAGTTTAGCTGTTTTAAAATTGCATCATGAGCATTTTGGTTCTGTAAAAGGAGAGCATGCCAGACCGTCAAAGCAAATTACAACATATATATCAACGCCAACAAAAAGAAAAAAGTTGAAATTTTCAAGATCCAGAGAAACAGAAGAATGCAGTTCAACCCACCCTAAGTAACAGAGGGACGTGCCAAATGTTAGGGACATCATGAATATTGAGAATATTAGCAGCCTGCCGAGAAACAAGGTGATACATAACATATCCAAATTTAAAACAGCTGTTATTAGAAGCGATGCAGTGCAAAGTCCACCAAAAGTTACCGGAACATGGCAGAACTGAGAAAGTTTCTCCTTCGTATTTTCCAATAAAGGCTGCAATGAAAATTACTAAAAGTCACTCTATGCCTCAAAATTCATCCTTAAAAAAAAGAAATTGATGGAAATTATCTGTCAAAATAGAAGAAAAAAACAGGGAATTCACAAAGTCCATTGCTGGAATCATATTAGAAAGATAGGATCCAACTTATTTGGGCAACACAATAACAGATGCTACTATACAATCATCAAGAGAAGCACTGCCACACATGAAAAATGTGATCAACCTTTAGTACTTTCAGAAACCTTCCAAAAGTTTAATAGTAAAGATCATATACAAGAACAGCAAGAGAAAGCAGATAACTTCTCTGAAATGAAGTTTGTGAGCAACTTTCAGTGGAATCTACCACAAAGATCTTCAACCAAAATTGTTCCAGTCAATAGTCCTCTTGAAAGCATAAAGATGTCAGGTAAGATGAATGTACCTGAGCAGAGCGACATGCCAACAGATGAGGAGTCAAGCCTAATGCTCTCAGTTCACGGACACTATGTTGTGTAGGCTTTGTTTTCTGCAAACACACATAAAACAGGTATTGTTATGATCATTCAAGTTTAATATGATCAACTTGACCTCCAAATGAATACATTCAAAATGGGGGGGGGCACTTAAAACAAATTATATGGCATATTACTTGTTCTCCAACAACGCCTAGCACGGGTATCAGGCTCACATGAACAAGACAAAAGTTATCCTGTCCTGCATAGAGATATGGAAATTAACATGAGTGGTTATTGCAATAACTCATGAATGAATTAACTCAACATATGTGAACATGGGAGAAAAGCTCTGTAATGCGAGTGTCTAGTAACTTCAAAATGGAAGCATAATGCTATTTTTTTTATAGCATTCATCTAATTGTTCACGCAGCATATAGTCAGACAAATAAGACAGGTACTACACTATGAACAATTCAAATGAATTTGCTTCTGTAGTTTGTAGAGTTTCTGACAAAACAGTTATATCATTCCTCAAATTTCCTACAATCTTTTTGAGTGGTCAAATATATCAAAATATGCACCACACCATGGCTTCACAAGTACTGCCAGTCCATTTAGAGAAAAAGGATCCTTTGTCCTTGAATGAAAGGAACTTAAGGAGGAGAGCAATGCTCCTCCAATATACAGAAAACTTGATAACCCACCAACTGAAAATGACAACTGTCGCAAAGCCTCAATAAATGGCATAGATTCAATGTCACCTGAAGGAGAAAAAGGAATAAATTATTACTACCGCATGAAATTGCAAGACCAAAAAAATTATCAGTAAAAGCTGCATGCTTCTTGCACATATCACTCTTACCCACTGTGCCTCCCAATTCTATAACACACACATCAGCAGGGCCATCCTTTCCATCCACAGGAATGACAGAGACAGACTCGATCCAATCCTTAATTGCATCAGTGATATGTGGAACGACCTGGAATTTCCTCAAACATAGCAACGATTCAGTTAGCAGTAATTTAAACATGTTAAGAAGCATATCTAGCTAGCTGCAAGCCATCACCTGAACAGTCTTTCCAAGATAATCGCCTCTCCTTTCCTTCTCGATGACAGACTGATCAGACACCAAACAGGGAGAATATCAATAATCAGTCACCGATTATCTTATAGAACTTAATGAATTTGCGTACATACTAAACTCATCCCGTCACCTGAAATATCTTCCCAGTGGTAATGTTATTATCTTTGGTAAGTGTCACGTCCAGAAAACGCTCGTAGTTACCCAAGTCTAAATCAACCTTTCAACAGAAACCAAGGAATAATTAACCTGTTAATATATCCTTTAATCCATATGCCCTTATACCAAATTTCACCATCTTTCAAGAATTGAAAAAAAAAATAGAGGGACTAAACCTCTCCGCCATCGTCAAGAACAAAAACCTCCCCATGCTCAAAAGGAGACATGGTGCCAGCATCAGTATTCAAGTAAGGATCTGTAACACATCAGATTATCAAAAGTTAATAGTGATTATGCACCCAAATCAAAACACAAATATGCATAAAACTATGACAGAGAACCTATTTTGATGGAGGTGACGCGGAGGCCGCAAGCTTTAAGGACAACGCCGATGCTGCTAGCGGTGACGCCCTTGCCGAGCCCACTGACAACTCCTCCGGTGACTAGGACATACTTCATATCTCTCTGTTGGCTTTGGGTTGGGTGGTAACTGGATAAATTCTGAGAATTTGTGTGTAGTATTTTTTTTTTCCCCCCTCTTTTTTTTTTTTTTTTCACTTTGAAACTTTGCTGATTCTTGTGTTTGTTCAAAAGCTTGAAAGATATATTTTTTCACTTTGAAACTTTGCTGACTTCTTGTGTTTGTTCAAAAGCTTGAAAGATTTTTTCTTTTTTTCTTTTTTGTAAAAGGTAGAAATTGAAAGTTAGTGGGAGTATCTGGGAATGGTAAAAAGTAAGTTTTTAAAATATATTTTTATTTAAAAAATATTTTTAATATCAATTACTTAAAGATATTTAAAAATAATAATTCGAACAACTTTCAAAACGGTCAAATCAAAGAATCAAAAAAACTCAACCTTGCACCGAGGTTTTCTTTTTAATTTAATTTCAGTACCACATGAAATTGTTTGCATACGATTTCTTAGTGAAATTATTAATTAAATATAAAGTAAAAGATAAAGAGATCTTACTCATAAAGTATTATTCGCTCAAGTAGTGCTGTCACTTTTTTATTATTTTTTAAATAATAATTTTTTAAATTTTAATTTTTAATAAATTATTATATTCTCATATTCTTATACATAAATTATTTATGAGTGTAATAAGTTAAGTTGGTTGGTTCAAACTTTTTTAATTTTATTATTTAATATTAAATTAATTTAAAATTAAATTTTATAGTTTATTTTGTTTATTTTATATTATGTTATTTTAATCTTATAATACCAGAATAATATTTAAAAGGTTAACAAGAATAGATCCAAGTTATTTTTATGTCTTATTTTTAATAGATATTTTTTTAATCTTATTACTCAATATTAAATTGATAAGGAATTGCGCTTTATAATATATTTTGATTTTTTTTCTATAAAAATATACTGGTCTAATTATCAAAGTCATCAATTTTGACATTTAAACCACAATTAAATCGAGTTGTATTTTTAAGAGTTTATCTTGACATCATGATCAAAGTTACAAAGAGCTTTGTATTGGGTTTTTCCTATCTCATGATAAAAATTATGAATTTGATCGGTTTACCCAATTAATTCAATTTTTTTAATTGATATTTTTTGTTTTCAATTTCACTATTTAATGTTATATTTGATTTAGAATTACGTTTTGTAATTATTATTTTTTTATTTTTATTAGATTATTTTTTTCTGACCGGAAATAATGTTTAACAAGTTAACTCAGCTAACTTAGCTCATTTTTCATGTTAATTTTTAATTAAAGTTTTTGTAAGTTTCACAATTCAACACCAAGTCCGACATAAACGACTAAAAATTGAGTTTTATTTTTTTTTTGCTCTCCGTGTGTTTATCATAATTTTATAATAGAAGTTATGGATTTGATAGGTTCATTTATGTTAAATCAAGTTATTTTTTGTTATTTTTATACAAGTTTATATTAATTTAACGACTCAGGTTATAAATTTAACAAATTAATATGAACTATTTTTTATATCCTTTTTAACTGATGTTTAAGGTTTTTTTGTTGTATTTTCACTTGAATTTTTTAATTTTAATTAATTTGACTGAAAAAAAAGATACTTTAATAAATATAAAATATAATTTAAAAATAAAACTAATTGATGCTTATAAAAATATATGTCAGCAAGTGGATGATATATGAAGTGTCTCCTAGCATTCAAACGCCGCTTTCCATGAAAGTATGAATGTCTCAACAGTCTTTTCATCTGTAGGTGTACATGTATAACTTAATAATATCTGGTTTGACATTAATAAAAAAAAAAGAATTATTTATTTTTATGTTCAGCCCTCTAAAATTTTAAAATATTCATCTTCGTGAGTTTTTTCTCAGTGATGCCTATAAAAAAGTGACTGTAAATCTCTAATATATATTTTTTTTCTTTTTAAATATAATACTAACAACTATTTTTTTATAATTAATTATTATTATTATTATTTATTTTATTTTATTTATTGTTAATATTTTTTAATTATATTATTAAATAAACTAAACTGATTAAAATCAGATAAATCAATAATCCAGATATATTTTTTTCCTGATGCGAGAGAATTCAGATCTCAAGGAAAAAAAAACCCTCGAAATTGACAATCAAAATAGAGAACACAATACAAAGTTGTTATCCGTGCTGTTGACCGCAAAACACCTACGCGTTAGCTGGAAATTTCTAGTAAATGACATCCAGGGGCAGAGATTGAGTCGCAAAGCCTCCAACTTTTGAATTTGAAACAGCTAAAGAGCCGTTGGAGTAGAGAAAAAACACACTTAGAGAGAGAATGGTGGGTAGAGAAACAAAAAACGGCTCTGCAGCTTTTTCGTGGGCAGATGAGGTTGAGAAAGAAGAGGAAGAACAAGCTCGGTTTCAGGAGTGCCAGAAGCAGAAACCAAACCCTTTTGGCTCTGCCAGGCCCAGAGAAGTTGTTCTCCAGGAAAAAGGAATTGATTGGAGAAAACTCGACTTCCATCTTCAACGACCTTCTCACATAAGGTACTGATCTCTTCCTGTTTACTGGTGCTCAAATTTTTTATGCTTTATGGTTGATTAAGTATGAAAACCCAAATTAAAGACCGGAAGATTCCTTTTCTTGTTATATGTTTTTCTCTAATTTGGAGATTAGTGCTGATCCAACTAGTTTTGAAACATGTAAGATAGCATATGGCCATATGGGGATTGCAATGGCTTAAATATTTTAATTCTCTTTCTGCCTGCTTCAATGATTGTTGCTTGGTAACCATTCATTGCAATCACAATTATTATACAGGCAGCTGGACGATCCGAAGCTATGTAAGGAAAAAATCCCTGCCTCTGCTGCTCCAGGTATCGACAGGATACATTCAGTTACCCCTAGCGAGTGCCTGAAATATGAAATGGAAGATGCCAATTCGGACTTGAAAAGAGGTGAAATTTTGCGGGAACCTTTGGCTATGCAGAACCAGAATCCTGTACCATTCGTACCTCCTCTAAGATATCCACCTAAAAATGTCATTCCTAGTTTGTCTGAGTCTGGTTTTCATTATTATCTACATGACTTGGGCGATGGGCAGCAAGATTTTAAAAACAAGAAGCCCCTGAAGCCCGAGAAAGAGAACGCATTTCATCAGCAAGGGTCCCAAAGGGTTCATTGCTCTCAAAATAATCATGGAAGCCACATTCTTCCTTACTATCATCGGCAAATATTGCAAGCTGAGCAAGGGAGCCAGTTTAAGGAGAATTACGAAAATTTCAAACTGGGGCAATCAGTTGTTAAAGGGAAGAACTTGAGGAAAACAGCAGCTAGTAGAATACAGCATTCAGATTCAGCTACTGAGAGACCTTGCAAAAATCTTCAAGAAGATTACGCAGTTAGTCATGGGGTTAGGCAGAGCTTGATAAACCACTCATGTGCTGGAGGTACATGCAATGGCCTGGAAAGATCTGTTGCCAAGAGATCAAGTGGCACAGAATTCAGTTCGATGGCAGTTCAAAAAAGAAAATGCAGCGAGATGAAGAGGAACTAGGCAGTGAGAAACGAATATGAAAGGTAGGGGAAAACTCAATTGTTACCACAATTTTGCTTTCAGTAATAAAACAATCGTTCCAATAACAAAAGCAATACATATTTTATACCTGCCTAGCCTAGCATTACAAATCCATCACTGCTTTGGGCTCAAGCTTAGCATTAGAAATCCATCACTGATTTGGGCTCAATTACTTCATCTATTTGCAACGGTATCCAATGAACAGGATGAACAGGTCAACTCGTCTAACTTTTACGATCTTGACAAAGTAATCTAGAATTTTCACATTTTTTTAGAATACCCACCAACTTCTCAGAAAATAAACAAGTACATATGAAATTACAGGCATTGTCAGGTGAAGAATTGATTATCAAACCATGAATTACATTTAGGCTACAAAGGGAGGGAATTCTGTATAGAATTGTCCCACTGTCTTAACACTAAGATTCTTTGGCAGCTCTGTCATAAAAATAAAAAAAATTTGGCAGCTCATGTTACAGGAATAAAGAAAAAGCCGCAACTCTCTATATCGATCATCTCCGCGAGCACATATATGTTTAAACATGTGGTAGTATTTTAGCAATATCTCACTCCTTCACCACATACAACCTCGCCAATGCGATATGGCTTGTGTTGTCCCTCCTCAAGAACTTTGAGGGATGCTTCCTCAGTCACCATCCCAATACCCATGTTAAAAGTCCGACTCATCTCAGCATCTTCTATTCTTCCAGCCTGATATAAGAAAACAACAGAGAAGGGAATAAATACCATATGACAAGATCCATTTGTCTATCTTTATTTATAACAAACATAACCTTCAATATGGCAATTGGGGTGAGTATAATATGGCAATTGAAAGACGGCTCAATCTAACATCATAACCCAGCATTGCTGGGTAAAACACAATTTACCTCTTGGATCCATTTGAAAAGGGCTGGGGCTTCCCATGACTCCTTGTATATAGAAGCTCCAAGGTCTTTTGGGAAAACTCTTGGTATGTTATCTGTAAAACCACCTCCAGTGATGTGAACTATGCCCTTTACACCACCCTTGCTAATCAAGTCAAAACTTGAAAGGAAACCTGCTTGACATATTTAACAGTTGGAGCCATTAGAGTTTCGCCCAATGAAACACCAGGAAGTTGGTCATTCAAAGATAGGCCACTTCGAGCAAGAACCCTATAAAGATATACAAGCATTCATCCATTAATAAGAATAATCAATGTAAAGAACTAAAACATCATAGGGCTGCAAACATTCTTCCAGCATCAATGATGTTTTAATGCATGGAGAAAAAATAAGAATCCCTCAAACCAACACAACCTTCTTACGAGAGAAAATCCATTGGAATGGACTCCACTTGATGGCAAACCAATGAGAACATCCCCAGCCACAGTGTTTTCCCCATGAATCACCGAGTCCTTTCTAACAATGCCAACAGCAAACCCGCTAAGGTCATACTCACCTTCTGCATAGAAATCTGGCATCTCTGCAGTCTGGAAGGAATTTAACAAAACCATTAGGGTCAACAGAGAGTTGTCAGTTTTGGTGAAATCATGATCAAGCGTAGAAAGGGAGGAATAAGAGACCACAGCAACTTTTAATGTCGGCAAATTTGACCACATCATGCATTGGGTGGGTCTATTCCCCATGATGTATGCCCATAAGAGGACCATTAAGTGAGATGGATAGAGAATTTCCATAGTTATCTACTTCTATAAGATAACATGCCATATCCCTCTCACATAATGCAATACACGGATACATCTAATCTACAAGCATTCATAGCCTAACCACGTCTTATTTTTCTCTCCCATCCTCAAACAAAAATTATCCCAATAGCCGTCCATGAAAGTCTACCCGTTTTAAAATCTAGCACACGACCATTTCAAGAACTCTCTAGAGCACAACCATTTCACATGAGGCAGACACCTGTGATAGTTCAAGACCATATCCTGCAACACCATCATCGGTAATTGCCACCAAGCAGGGTATCATGGCTGCAATAACCTTGTCGTTGCAAAAATAAAAGCTATGGTGATTACAACATCAACCTTCAGATCCAGCACCACACGATGCACTGAATGGTAGACATTCACCTGTAGAATGTAAAGAAAGAAAAAGACTACCTCTCCCCCTAATAGAGTGCAGTCCGATAGTTGACAACCACCAACTATGCCTTTAATGACCTAAATAAGAAGAACAGGAAAATATCGTTTAGCTGCAGTTTTTCTGTTCAAATAATATATAAACTCAGTAAACCATGCACATTCATATACCTTTTCAGCAAGGTCAACATTAAGGCGGCTTGTAGCATAGTAATCAAGGAAAAATAAGGGCTTTGCGCCAGAAGTAACGATGTCGATCACACTTATAGCAACCAGCAGCAGGAGAAGTGAGTTAGGAAGCAAATCTACAGCAGCAAAATGCATATAACAAGATTTATCCAGAATTGACCAGATCAATCCCGATGGTTTCATGGATTCCGGTTTCAAATGCAAGCTTTAGCTTAGTCCCTGCACCATCCGTGCCCGCAACAAGGTACGAATCACCTGTGTGCGAGAACTTTAATAAGCACAATAACAAAACAAAATACATTAACAAACACAGCGACAAAGGAACTTCGCGTTACGCTATTCCCCAAGTTCCCACCCGCACAGGCCTAGCATAATTAAGGATAGAAAAAAATTATAATCCGAACTATAGCAGACAACATGAAAACAATGTGCAGCTTAAAAGATTTTTAATAATTCAATTGTGTTCACAACCAACAACGGAGAGCAATAAATGAAGCAAAAAAAATCCAACAAAAAGCATACCATGAGGGATAAGACCACCAAATCCACCATTTCCAGGGGCCATCTTTGCAATTCGCCTAATAAGCTCAGACCCAGCATCTATATCCACACCAGCATCCTTATATGTAAGTCTCAGCCCCGTCACCGCTTTTGCTGCTATTTGCCTTGGACATCGAACTATTGCTTGTAGCTCTCGCTGATAGAAGAGGAAATCTATTAGAAAAGCGACTAAAGGAGTATCTTCCGATGGATTGATGAGTGACCAGGGGTTTATTGGAACAGGGTCTGGTGGAAACTGTAACAACACGCGATAGCTCAGTGTTTGATGCTATGCTAGTAGTAGCCATGGCAATTGGGGAGTGATAATTGAGAACTTAACCTTGGGAAGGTTGATGCTCGCCTGAATTTGGCGGAGCTATGTGAAGTGCAGGAGGCGCGGGAAATAGGAAAGCAGAGGTTCTGGTAAGGCTATTCAGATTTTGGTTTGTTTATTTGTTTCTTTTTATACATAAATTATGAGTTTAATAAGTTAAGTTGATTGCTTCAAATTTTTTTAATTTTATTATTTAATATTAAATTAATTAAAAATTAAATTTTATAATCTGTTTTGTTTATTTTTTATTATGTTATTTTAACCTCGTAATACAAGAATAATATTTGAAAAATTAACCGAAATAGACCCAAGTTATTTTTATGTCTTATTTTTAATAGATTTTTTTTCAATCTCATTACTCAATATTAGATCGATAAGGAATTGAGCTTTATAATATATTTTGATTTGTTTTATATAAAAATATATTGGTCTAATTATCAAAATCATCAATTTTGATATTTTAACCACAATTAAATCGAGTTGTATTTTTAAGAGGTTATCTTGGTATAATGATCTAAGTTACAAAAAGCTTTGAATTTTCTTTGTATTGGGTTTTTCCTGTCTCATAATAGAAATTACGAATTTGATCAATTAACCCAATTATCTCGGGTTTTTTAATTGATATTTTTTGTTTTCAATTTTATTATTTAATGTTATATTTGATTGAGAATTAGGTTTAGTTATTATTTTTTTATATTTTTATTAGGTCATCTTTGTTTTCTAACCAGAAATAATGTTTAACAGGTTAACTCAGTTAACTTGACTCATTTTTCATGTTAATTTTCAATTAAAGTTTTTGTAAATTTCATTATTCAATACTAGATCCGACATAAACGACTGGAAATTGAGCTTCATTTGTTTTAATTTGCTCTTTATGTGTTTATCATAATTTCATAATCAAAGTCATGAATTTAGTAGGTTAATTTATGTTAAATTAAGTTATTTTTTGTTGTTTTTATATAAGTTTATATCGATTTAACGACTCGAGTCATAGATTTAACAAATTAACATGAACTGTTTTTTATATCTTTTTAACTGATATTTAAGATTTTTTTGTTGTATTTTCACTTAAATTTTTTAATTATAATTAATTTGATTGAGAAGAAATTTTATATTTTAATAAATATAAAATATAATTTAAAAATAAAACTAATTGATACTTGTAAAAACATGTGTCAGCAGGTGGATGATATATGAAGTGTCTTCTAGCATCCAAACACTGATTTTCATGAAAGTATTAATGTTTTAATAGTCTTTTTATCTATAAATGCACATATATAGTTTAATAATATCTAGTTTGACATTAATAAATTTTATTTATTTATTTTTATGTTTAGCCTTCTAAAATTTTAAAATAATCATCTTCGCGAGTTTTTCCTCAATAATGCCTATAAAAAAGTGACAGTAAATCTCTATATTTTTTTTCTTTTTAAATATAATACTAACAACTATTTTTTTATAGTTAATTATTATTAATTTATTTTATTTTATTTATTGTTAATATTTTTTTCCTAATGCGAGAGAATTCAGATCTCAAGCAAAAAAAAAAAAACCCCTCAAAATTGACAATCAAAATAGAGAACACAATACAAAGTTGTTATCCTTGCTGTTGACCAGAAAACACCTACGCGTTAGCTGGAAATTTCTAGTAAATGACATCCAGGGGCAGAGATTGAGTCGCAAAGCCTCCAACTTTTGAATTTGAAACAGCTAAAGAGCCGTTGGAGTAGAGAAAAAACACACTTAGAGAGAGAATGGTGGGTAGAGAAACAAAAAACGGCTCTGCAGCTTTTTCGTGGGCAGATGAGGTTGAGAAAGAAGAGGAAGAACAAGCTCGGTTTCAGGAGTGCCAGAAGCAGAAACCAAACCCTTTTGGCTCTGCCAGGCCCAGAGAAGTTGTTCTCCAGGAAAAAGGAATTGATTGGAGAAAACTCGACTTCCATCTTCAACGACCTTCTCACATAAGGTACTGATCTCTTCCTGTTTACTGGTGCTCAAATTTTTTATGCTTTATGGTTGATTAAGTATGAAAACCCAAATTAAAGACCGGAAGATTCCTTTTCTTGTTATATGTTTTTCTCTAATTTGGAGATTAGTGCTGATCCAACTAGTTTTGAAACATGTAAGATAGCATATGGCCATATGGGGATTGCAATGGCTTAAATATTTTAATTCTCTTTCTGCCTGCTTCAATGATTGTTGCTTGGTAACCATTCATTGCAATCACAATTATTATACAGGCAGCTGGACGATCCGAAGCTATGTAAGGAAAAAATCCCTGCCTCTGCTGCTCCAGGTATCGACAGGATACATTCAGTTACCCCTAGCGAGTGCCTGAAATATGAAATGGAAGATGCCAATTCGGACTTGAAAAGAGGTGAAATTTTGCGGGAACCTTTGGCTATGCAGAACCAGAATCCTGTACCATTCGTACCTCCTCTAAGATATCCACCTAAAAATGTCATTCCTAGTTTGTCTGAGTCTGGTTTTCATTATTATCTACATGACTTGGGCGATGGGCAGCAAGATTTTAAAAACAAGAAGCCCCTGAAGCCCGAGAAAGAGAACGCATTTCATCAGCAAGGGTCCCAAAGGGTTCATTGCTCTCAAAATAATCATGGAAGCCACATTCTTCCTTACTATCATCGGCAAATATTGCAAGCTGAGCAAGGGAGCCAGTTTAAGGAGAATTACGAAAATTTCAAACTGGGGCAATCAGTTGTTAAAGGGAAGAACTTGAGGAAAACAGCAGCTAGTAGAATACAGCATTCAGATTCAGCTACTGAGAGACCTTGCAAAAATCTTCAAGAAGATTACGCAGTTAGTCATGGGGTTAGGCAGAGCTTGATAAACCACTCATGTGCTGGAGGTACAAGCAATGGCCTGGAAAGATCTGTTGCCAAGAGATCAAGTGGCACAGAATTCAGTTCGATGGCAGTTCAAAAAAGAAAATGCAGCGAGATGAAGAGGAACTAGGCAGTGAGAAACGAATATGAAAGGTAGGGGAAAACTCAATTGTTACCACAATTTTGCTTTCAGTGATAAAACAATCGTTCCAATAACAAAAGCAATACATATTTTATTCCTGCCTAGCGTAGCATTACAAATCCATCACTGCTTTGGGCTCAAGCTTAGCATTAGAAATCCATCACTGATTTGGGCTCAATTACTTCATCTATTTGCAACGGTATCCAATGAACAGGATGAACAGGTCAACTCGTCTAACTTTTACGATCCTTACAAAGTAATCTAGAATTTTCACATTTTTTGAGAATACCCACCAACTTCTCAGAAAATAAACAAGTACATATGAAATTACAGGCATTATCAAGTGAAGAATTGATTATCAAACCATGAATTACATTTAGGCTAAAAAGGGAGGGAATTCTGTATAGAATTGTCCCACCGTCTTAACACTAAGATTCTTTGGCAGCTCTGTCATAAAAAAAAAATAATTTGGGCAGCTCATGTTACAGGAATAAAGAAAAAGCCGCAACTCTCTATATCGATCATCTCCACGAGCACATATATGTTTAAAAACATGTGGTAGTATTTTAGCAATATCTCACTCCTTCACCACATACAACCTCGCCAATGCGATATGGCTTGTGTTGTCCCTCCTCAAGAACTTTGAGGGATGCTTCCTCAGTCACCATCCCAATACCCATGTTAAAAGTCCGACTCATCTCAGCATCTTCTATTCTTCCAGCCTGATATAAGAAAACAACAGAGAAGGGAATAAATACCATATGACAAGATCCATTTGTCTATCTTTATTTATAACAAACATAACCTTCAATATGGCAATTGGGGTGAGTATAATATGGCAATTGAAAGACGGCTCAATCTAACATCATAACCCAGCATTGCTGGGTAAAACACAATTTACCTCTTGGATCCATTTGAAAAGGGCTGGGGCTTCCCATGACTCCTTGTATATAGAAGCTCCAAGGTCTTTTGGGAAAACTCTTGGTATGTTATCTGTAAAACCACCTCCAGTGATGTGAACTATGCCCTTTACACCACCCTTGCTAATCAAGTCAAAACTTGAAAGGAAACCTGCTTGACATATTTAACAGTTGGAGCCATTAGAGTTTCGCCCAATGAAACACCAGGAAGTTGGTCATTCAAAGATAGGCCACTTCGAGCAAGAACCCTATAAAGATATACAAGCATTCATCCATTAATAAGAATAATCAATGTAAAGAACTAAAACATCATAGGGCTGCAAACATTCTTCCAGCATCAATGATGTTTTAATGCATGGAGAAAAAATAAGAATCCCTCAAACCAACACAACCTTCTTACGAGAGAAAATCCATTGGAATGGACTCCACTTGATGGCAAACCAATGAGAACATCCCCAGCCACAATGTTTTCCCCATGAATCACCGAGTCCTTTCTAACAATGCCAACAGCAAACCCGCTAAGGTCATACTCACCTTCTGCATAGAAATCTGGCATCTCTGCAGTCTGGAAGGAATTTAACAAAACCATTAGGGTCAACAGAGAGTTGTCAGTTTTGGTGAAATGATGATCAAGCGTAGAAAGGGAGGAATAAGAGACCACAGCAACTTTTAATGTCAGCAAATTTGACCACATCATGCATTGGGTGGGTCTATTCCCCATGGCACCCATAAGAGGACCGTTAAGTGAGATGGATAGAGAATTTCCATAGTTATCTACTTCTATAAGATAACATGCCATATCCCTCTCACATAATGCAATACACGGATACATCTAATCTACAAGCATTCATAGCCTAACCACGTCTTATTTTTCTCTCCCATCCTCAAACAAAAATTATCCCAATAGCCGTCCATGAAAGTCTACCCGTTTTAAAATCTAGCACACCCCTCAAAATTGACAATCAAAATAGAGAACACAATACAAAGTTGTTATCCTTGCTGTTGACCAGAAAACACCTACGCGTTAGCTGGAAATTTCTAGTAAATGACATCCAGGGGCAGAGATTGAGTCGCAAAGCCTCCAACTTTTGAATTTGAAACAGCTAAAGAGCCGTTGGAGTAGAGAAAAAACACACTTAGAGAGAGAATGGTGGGTAGAGAAACAAGAAACGGCTCTGCAGCTTTTTCGTGGGCAGATGAGGTTGAGAAAGAAGAGGAAGAACAAGCTCGGTTTCAGGAGTGCCAGAAGCAGAAACCAAACCCTTTTGGCTCTGCCAGGCCCAGAGAAGTTGTTCTCCAGGAAAAAGGAATTGATTGGAGAAAACTCGACTTCCATCTTCAACGACCTTCTCACATAAGGTACTGATCTCTTCCTGTTTACTGGTGCTCAAATTTTTTATGCTTTATGGTTGATTAAGTATGAAAACCCAAATTAAAGACCGGAAGATTCCTTTTCTTGTTATATGTTTTTCTCTAATTTGGAGATTAGTGCTGATCCAACTAGTTTTGAAACATGTAAGATAGCATATGGCCATATGGGGATTGCAATGGCTTAAATATTTTAATTCTCTTTCTGCCTGCTTCAATGATTGTTGCTTGGTAACCATTCATTGCAATCACAATTATTATACAGGCAGCTGGACGATCCGAAGCTATGTAAGGAAAAAATCCCTGCCTCTGCTGCTCCAGGTATCGACAGGATACATTCAGTTACCCCTAGCGAGTGCCTGAAACATGAAATGGAAGATGCCAATTCGGACTTGAAAAGAGGTGAAATTTTGCGGGAACCTTTGGCTATGCAGAACCAGAATCCTGTACCATTCGTACCTCCTCTAAGATATCCACCTAAAAATGTCATTCCTAGTTTGTCTGGGTCTGGTTTTCATTATTATCTACATGACTTGGGCGATGGGCAGCAAGATTTTAAAAACAAGAAGCCCCTGAAGCCCGAGAAAGAGAACGCATTTCATCAGCAAGGGTCCCAAAGGGTTCATTGCTCTCAAAATAATCATGGAAGCCACATTCTTCCTTACTATCATCGGCAAATATTGCAAGCTGAGCAAGGGAGCCAGTTTAAGGAGAATTACGAAAATTTCAAACTGGGGCAATCAGTTGTTAAAGGGAAGAACTTGAGGAAAACAGCAGCTAGTAGAATACAGCATTCAGATTCAGCTACTGAGAGACCTTGCAAAAATCTTCAAGAAGATTACGCAGTTAGTCATGGGGTTAGGCAGAGCTTGATAAACCACTCATGTGCTGGAGGTACAAGCAATGGCCTGGAAAGATCTGTTGCCAAGAGATCAAGTGGCACAGAATTCAGTTCGATGGCAGTTCAAAAAAGAAAATGCAGCGAGATGAAGAGGAACTAGGCAGTGAGAAACGAATATGAAAGGTAGGGGAAAACTCAATTGTTACCACAATTTTGCTTTCAGTAATAAAACAATCGTTCCAATAACAAAAGCAATACATATTTTATACCTGCCTAGCCTAGCATTACAAATCCATCACTGCTTTGGGCTCAAGCTTAGCATTAGAAATCCATCACTGATTTGGGTTCCAATAACAAAAGCAATACATATTTTATTCCTGCCTAGCGTAGCATTACAAATCCATCACTGCTTTGGACTCAATTACTTCATCTATTTGCAACGGTATCCAATGAACAGGATGAACAGGTCAACTCGTCTAACTTTTACGATCTTGACAAAGTAATCTAGAATTTTCACATTTTTTTAGAATACCCACCAACTTCTCAGAAAATAAACAAGTACATATGAAATTACAGGCATTATCAAGTGAAGAATTGATTATCAAACCATGAATTACATTTAGGCTAAAAAGGGAGGGAATTCTGTATAGAATTGTCCCACCGTCTTAACACTAAGATTCTTTGGCAGCTCTGTCATAAAAAAAAAATAATTTTGGCAGCTCATGTTACAGGAATAAAGAAAAAGCCGCAACTCTCTATATCGATCATCTCCGCGAGCACATATATGTTTAAACATGTGGTAGTATTTTAGCAATATCTCACTCCTTCACCACATACAACCTCGCCAATGCGATATGGCTTGTGCTGTCCCTCCTCAAGAACTTTGCGGGATGCTTCCTCAGTCACCATCCAATGCTCATGTTAAAAGTCCGACTCATCTCAGCATCTTCTATTCTTCCAGCCTGATATAAGAAAACAACAGAGAAGGGAATAAATACCATATGACAAGATCCATTTGTCTATCTTTATTTATAACAAACATAACCTTCAATATGGCAATTGGGGTGAATATAATATGGCAATTGAAAGACGGCTCAATCTAACATCATAATCCAGCATTGCTGGGTAAAACACAATTTACCTCTTGGATCCATTTGAAAAGGGTTGGGGCTTCCCATGACTCCTTGTATATAGAAGCTCCAAGGTCTTTTGGGAAAACTCTTGGAATGTTATCTGTAAAACCACCTCCAGTGATGTGAACTATGCCCTTTACACCACCCTTGCTAATCAAGTCAAAACTTGAAAGGAAACCTGCTTGACATGGTTAACAGTTGGAGCCATTAGAGTTTCGCCCAATGAAACACTTCCACCAGGAAGTTGGTCATTCAAAGATAGGCCACTTCGAGCAAGAACCCTATAAAGATATACAAGCATTCATCCATTAATAAGAATAATCAATGTAAAGAACTAAAACATCATAGGGCTGCAAACATTCTTCCAGCATCAATGATGTTTTAATGCATGGAGAAAAAATAAGAATCGCTCAAACCAACACAACCTTCTTACGAGAGAAAATCCATTGGAATGGACTCCACTTGATGGCAAACCAATGAGAACATCCCCAGCCACAATGTTTTCCCCATGAATCACCGAGTCCTTTCTAACAATGCCAACAGCAAACCCGCTAAGGTCATACTCACCTTCTGCATAGAAATCTGGCATCTCTGCAGTCTGGAAGGAATTTAACAAAACCATTAGGGTCAACAGAGAGTTGTCAGTTTTGGTGAAATGATGATCAAGCGTAGAAAGGGAGGAATAAGAGACCACAGCAACTTTTAATGTCAGCAAATTTGACCACATCATGCATTGGGTGGGTCTATTCCCCATGATGTATGCCCATAAGAGGACCAATCATGCATTGGGTGGGTCTATTCCCCATGGCACCCATAAGAGGACCGTTAAGTGAGATGGATAGAGAATTTCCATAGTTATCTACTTCTATAAGATAACATGCCATATCCCTCTCACATAATGCAATACACGGATACATCTAATCTACAAGCATTCATAGCCTAACCCCGTCTTATTTTTCTCTCCCATCCTCAAACAAAAATTATCCCAATAACCGTCCATGAAAGTCTACCCGTTTTAAAATCTAGCACACGACCATTTCAAGAACTCTGTAGAGCACAACCATTTCACATGAGGCAGACACCTGTGATAGTTCAAGACCATATCCTGCAACACCATCATTGGTAATTGCTACCATGCAGGGTATCATGGCTGCAATAACCTTGTCGTTGCAAAAGTAAAAGCTATGGTGATTACAACATCAACCTTCAGATCCTGCACCACACGATGCACTGAATGGTAGACATTCACCAGTAGAATGTAAAGAAAGGAAAAGACTACCTCTCCCCCTAATAGAGTGCAGTCCGCTTGTTGACAACCACCAACTATGCCTTTAATGACCTAAATAAGAAGAACAGGAAAATATCGTTTAGTTGCAGTTTTTCTGTTCAAATAATATATAAACTCAGTAAACCATGCACATTAATATACCTTTTCAGCAAGGTCAACATTAAGGCGGCTTGTAGCATAGTAATCAAGGAAAAATACGGGTTTTTTCGCCAGAAGTAACGATATCGATCACACTCATAGCAACCAGCAGCAGGAGAAGTGAGTTAGGAAGCAAATCTACAGCAGCAAAATGCATATAACAAGATTTATCCAGAATTGACCAGATCAATCCCGATGGTTTCATGGATTCCGGTTTCAAATGCAAGCTTTAGCTTAGTCCCTGCACCATCCGTACCTGCAACAAGGTACGAATCACCTGTGTGCGAGAACTTTAATAAGCACAATAGCAAAACAAAATACATTAACAAACACAGCGACAGATGAACTTCGCGTTACACTATTCCCCAAGTTCCCACCCGCATAGGCCTAGCATAATTAAGGATAGAAAAAAATTATAATCCGAACTATAGCAGACAACATGAAAACAATGTGCAGCTTAAAAGATTTTTAATAATTCAATTGTGTTCACAACCAACAACGGAGAGCAATAAATGAAGCAAAAAAAATCCAACAAAAAGCATACCATGAGGGATAAGACCACCAAATCCACCATTTCCAGGGGCCATCTTTGCATTTCGCCTAATAAGCTCAGACCCAGCATCTATATCCACACCAGCATCCTTATATGTAAGTCTCAGCCCCGTCACCGCTTTTGCTGCTATTTGCCTTGGACATCAAACTATTGCTTGTAGCTCTCGCTGATAGAAGAGGAAATCTATTAGAAAAGCGACTAAAGGAGTATCTTCCGATGGATTGATGAGTGACCAGGGGTTTATTGGAACAGGGTCTGGTGGAAACTGTAACAACACGCGATAGCTCAGTGTTTGATGCTATGCTAGTAGTAGCCATGGCAATTGGGGAGTGATAATTGAGAACTTAACCTTGGGAAGGTTGATGCTCGCCTGAATTTGGCGGAGCTATGTGAAGTGCAGGAGGCGCGGGAAATAGGAAAGCAGAGGTTCTGGTAAGGCTATTCAGATTTTGGTTTGTTTATTTGTTTCGTTTTTTTCCCCCCTTAATAATCTGGGGTAACTGGGTAAGTGACGGTATCGACTGTCGGGTTTGTGTACATGGTTATAATCAACTTTTAACTTTTTATATTTTACTAATTATCAATCCAATCCATTTAATTTTCGAGCAGTTTGGATATATTAATTTTGGCTAAATTTCTTTTTAAGAATGTCATATATATTTACAAGTTGAATATATGAAATCTTTTATTCTGTGAAGATCTAAAAAATATATTTATAAATATAATAACATAAATTATTTTATTAAATATATTTGAATACCTTACTTTACCCGCAAAACCCTAAGAACAACTCCAATAGAGCAGTTCAAAAAATAAATAAAATAAAATAATTATATTTTAAATTTTTATATTTATTTTTAAATATTTTAATGATCTGTCAAATAAATAGTTTAAATAGTTATTCAAGACATAAAGTGTTATTTTTATATTTAAAAAAATAAAAGTAAATGCAAGTATATTTTACTTGTTAATAAGTTTTTTTTTCTTTTTTTATATGTTGGTGTTTGTCAATGTAGTATAATTATATTAAAATTAATTTAATATAAAATATATTAAAATATAATTAGCTTTTTAAATAATTTTGTATTATTAAAATACATATAAATAAAAAATTATATTTATACTATTTAAAAAATTATTTTATCAATTTAAATTTTTAATATAATATTTCTCATTAAAGATGCTTTTATATGCTATCTATATTATAAAAAAGTAAAATTAATTTGGTCCTGTATTAAATTTCTTAGTTAACAGAAATATGGCAACATCAACAGGTGTCTAGACCTGATTTGACTCTAATTACATGTATCCTGCTACATCAGTGATCTTATAAAACTCTCACCTGTTGGGTTGCCCACTTCCACAGAGCCCATCTCAGCACAGTCCATACGTTGTTCTTGGTTTTCGTTCTCTCCTCACCAAACCTTTTCACTTTCCTCATTTCTCTTTTTGATCATTAACCCCAAAGGTAACGTAAAACAGAATGAAACATTTCCATCTTAAATGAGATTAGAGATTAAGAGTTTTGAAAAAATTGCAGTTACTAATGAGGTTGGATTCGAACCCAGCTTCATCATCAGCATCGACATCAACGTCAACACCAAACGGGAAGCGAAGTAGAGATCCTGAAGATGAGGTCTACCTTGACAATCTCAATTCTCATAAGCGATACCTCAGTGAGGTTTGTCCCTTTCTTTCTGTTCTTTAATTCCTGTTATACTTTTCATTTCTTTTGGATTTTACTAAGAGCTCAAAAATTGTTAACGTTTTTGAGTGCAGATAATGGCATCTAGTTTGAATGGATTAACAGTTGGAGACCCACTCCAGGACAATCTTATGGAATCTCCTGCCAGGTCTGACACCATGATTTTTGCCAGGTGATTTTTTTTTTAACTCGTAAATACTGCTATTTTGGTTTTGGAACTTCTGTGCTGCTCCTCGGATATTAGTATAAAGAATTGTACTGAAAATACCAGGAACTTAATCCGATCATATTTCCTCAAATGGGAAGTTATCATTTTATAGCTTCATAGTTTGGAGCTCAATTATAGTTACCCATTTGGAATTATGGATGGTGGCATAATCAGTGATGGGCTCAGACTGGGGTTTTTATATCCCCAAATCATTATACTGAGAGATGTTCTTTGACCGTGGTTTAAAACAGTGATTTAGAGTAAAGAGTTTCCTCTAAGTGAATATCAGTAGGAAATTTTGGGTAATTGAAAGTTGCAGTCCTAGGGATTTGCCAGCACATTATGCGCTAATTTGCCCATTCAAAATAAAATCCCAGGGATCAGGTGCTCGGGTATGCACTATTCAATCTATATGATTGCAAGAGGGACATTGCCCTTCATCCTTGGCTTTCAGGTCCGTCATGAGGATGCTTCTCATCATTTTTTGCTCTGGCTAATTAAGAGGAAAACCATCATTTTTATTTTTATTTTCTGTTTTTAATTCTCATTCATTTTGTTTCCTTGCATGTATTATTTCAGGGATGAAATGTCCTTGCAATATTCACCAATGTCAGAAGACTTTGATGACTCTAGATTTTGCGAGACACCTACAAATGCTTGCTCACCTCAATCTGAAAGTCTACCCAGCAGTCCAGTTTCTCCATGTAGGTACCAAAGGCCACTTGGTGGGTTCTCGTCTGCTTCTTATAGCAGCTCATTCCTTTCACATGGCTGCTCTGTCACCGGTGTCACTTATTCACAGCCTCGTCAACGAGGTTCAGATTCTGAGGGCCGGTTCCCATCATCACCTAGTGATATATGCCACTCAGCTGACCTGAGGAGGGTTGCACTCCTGCGTTCTGTGCAGATGAGAACACAACCACCTGGTTCATCATCTTTTGAGCTTCCATTTGGTTCAGGACACGAGCCTGGATCTAACATAGAAGCTGAAGAGCAGCCATGCTCGTATATGAAGTCCTTGGTTGAAGAGAGGGAGTATCCACTCGAAGAGTGTTCTTCAATGAGCATCTCAGAACCTGGATTTAATGAAGAGAAGGCATGCCGGGTTTTGAATATGAATATAAAAGGGGATCGTTCTGGAGTTTAAGTACTAATGGAAGTGTTGCAGAACCAACCAACTCTGACCATATCTTGTGCACCTGTACTGAAGTGCCTTAGAGTAATTTATCAGTGAGTGGCTGGCCACGACAGATATTTTTTAATAACATCATCATGGTTTGCATTTGAGTTCATACGAAGTACTATGCTGAATAGCACTAGAGGTTTCACAGCTGGCTGTTTCACTACCCTCATCTCTCCTCACCCACTGGGTGGTCTCTGATTTAACCATACACTGATGCATGATCACTGGTGCACACATATTTGCTAGTGGCAAAACCTGGCCAAAGCATAACTCATGGTTCTTGATTGATCTGAGATAGCTTTGCTAGATGTTAAATCGTGTTTTCTAGGTAAACTAGAACTCTAATTAAGCTAATAGGAAATACGTTTCATGGTAATGATCGCAACCGTTTTCTTCCAATTCATGTCCATCTCGTGGCAATTGGCTCGTCTTGTTTTGTCACTTCTAATTGTTGCGGGTAATTATAGGTGTAAACAAACAATACGATAGGGCTTCCATTATTCCAGAACAGTCACGATTCATATAGCAAATAAGAACGATCCAAACAGGCAATACCGACCATATTAACCTTCCCAGGGGGGACATAAACAAACTTACAGCGGCCCAGATTGGGAGACAGTCTCGGCTAAAATGCTGGGGAAAGAAAAGGGATGGGAGAGTTGCACATGTTATCATCTCTCAGTTTTAACGAAGTTAAGAGCCCTAGTTTTTGGGTTACGACGAATTTGGTAGCTCAACATAACAAAATACGTTCAATCATTAAGAGATCAGAAGATGAAGCAAAAGTAGAGGATATTCATTTGTCTGATGCAAGTTTCATTCAAAAATTAAAAGCGTCTTTCCACCGTAAACAATAGCACAGACGGAAAAATAAGGCATATAAGTATACTGCACTAGCTAGTTGAGGTTCTCAAAATCATTTAGTATTAGGGAACTCGCTCAGTCAAAGTTCATGGGATACAGGTTTTCACTGTCAGGAGAAGCCTTGCCTGGATGACATCAAAGTAAACATCGGAGACGGCAAAAAAGATTCCCCAAAAACTGGATGATGTTTGCCTCCAAAATATTGATGAGGAAACGAAAGATCAGAAGATCAAGCAAAAGTAGATAGAATGTTCTTCTTCAGGGTGAATTCATCTGCCTTTGCTGGGCTGATTGTCTGCACCATCAACCATGGAAAAATATAAGATCAATTAACAGCCATCACAACTTTCACATGCTTACTCAACTTATTTTCTACTCAATTAAAGTTCTCATGATCTATTATCCAAACATCACAATCAGATGCGCATCTATTCTAAAAAACATCACAATATGAACATAATATGTGAATCTTGTTCCAACTCATTGCTATCTCAAAATTTCAAAATACAGCTGCCTGGCTCCTATTACACGAGGAGGCACGCTTCAACTAAGAGAAAAAATCTATCAATCTTACCTTTTGAAGCATGCGCTGTAGCCGCTCAATCTCATTCTTGGCATAATCAGCACCTTTAGCCATACAATTCTTGGCAACCTTCGAATAAATCTTTCCATACCTATAAACATGGAATATTGTAAGGTTATATCTTTGATTCAATAGAGATTTGACAAGAATAGAGAGAAGTCTTCAAAAGACTTTACAGCTTTGAGCAATATTGTAAAGAAATCAAAACAAGCCAACATGGAATTTAAACACTAGCATTCATGCCATTAAGTACCTTGCTGCGGAACCCTTGAGTTTCTCAACTTCCTCTTCAATTCGGGAAAAGACTGCTTTCTTCCCGTCATCTCCAGCAGCTACGAACTCTTTTACCAAGGCATCCAAACTTTCAACAATACCAGCCTATCTTGTATAAAAATATAATATGATCAAATGACTCAGTCAACAAAAATGAAAGGTTTAAACTTGCCGTTTTATATGTAGTAACTAACCTTTGAGGTAAGTTGTCCTTTTCCATCACGACTGGATCCAGACTTTTCATTGATGAAAGCAACAAAGTCATCCAAATCCCTCCCACCCTCATACTCTTCCCCAGCTTTGTTGCCTTTTGGAAAGAACTTCAATGTAGGGTATCCACTTACTCCATACCTGAATTTAGCATAGGCCATTAATATTACAGCTCCAAATGTTGAGAGCCCTTTTCATCAAAATAATTAGGTAACTGGTAAAGTTTTCCCTTACTTTTCAGCTAGATCCTTATGTTTGTCAGCATCTAGATTGGCAACCACGACATCTTCCTCAGATTTAAACGCAGTAGCTACCTTTTCATAGGTCTGAAGGAACAAACCAAGCAAACTCCAGATCATTACTCGTGCAGGAAAGACACGGATAGAACAATGACACACCAATGGTTACAGAAGACACACAAGTGCTCGTGATTTACAAACCTGCCTAGTATCTGGGCAAGTTAACATTGTGCCCACTTTTGGTTGGATGTAAATCATCCTCTAATTTAAAAATCTTTAAAGGTATATGTGTCATATGATTAAAAGCTAAAACATTAGACGACTCTCTCCTGGATGTAAAGTATTCACTCATATCTATCTCTCTTTCTCCACCACAGCCTTCTGTTGATTGTCTATCTTACATTATAGCTTTCACATACAACCTTAGTAAAAATCAAAAGCCTTTCAATATGAGAAAGAATCAGAGAAATAGACACAAGTAACACAGTGGGGAGAGGCAAGAGAGAAGATAGGTGGAAAGGAGAGAGTTGGTTTTGAATTTCATTTTGTCAACTTGCATCCTTAAAAATGACTTCAGCGATAACTTGTGTCCGACAAAAATGGGAACAGTGCTAACCTGCCCAAATAATAAGCAGTTTAAAAAATCACATGTCCCTGCACACACAAATTATAAAGGAAATGGGAAGAAGAAGGAGCTATACATACAGGAGCAAGGTTTTTGCAATGGCCACACCTGCAAGAAGTAGAGTTTGTAAATCAATAACATATGACTGAGATAAAAGGAGATTTTTTAAAAAAAGAAGAAGAAGAAGAAGAACAAAGCCAGTGTAGGTAACATAGCAGGAGTCAGCATACAGAAGAACATAGCTCACCATGGTGCATAAAACTCAACCAAAACATCCTTGGTTTCATCCAAGACAATATCATTAAAATTATCAGCAGTTAGCACCACTACATTGGATGGCACTGCAGCTATCTTCACATTAGTCCCTGTAAATAACATAGCCAATCAGGAACCTCTGGCGGTTTTTAACAGGAGTTGCTTTCGAAAACAAATCCTTAAAAATGCAATAAGACAAACGTTATAGCACATAGACCAGTTTTTGCAGACACATGCTTAGGTGAGAAGGGGGAATTCATTTTTCAAACAAAACAACAGTATATGCAGGTTACCAGTCAAAGTAACAGCAAGAAACTTGTAAATAGAATTTTTCACTGGGTTGACCAACAGGAAACAACTTTAAAAGAAAGACTAGAAGTACTACCTCCTTCAGTATTGACATACTCAGTAAGGGCTTCTGCAGTACGTGGTCCTTCATACCTGTTATATATATATAGTACAAAATCGCATTTCAGGTAAGGCAATAAATTTAGACATTCCATCAGATAGTGGTGGAGTTTAACAATATCCTCACTTTTTAGGTTCGAGCGATCCTTTAGGAAACCATTGAATAGTTGGGTATCCAGAAACCCCATATTTGCTGCATACACCCTTATGCTCATCACAGTCCACCTGCACCACATCATCAACAATTCACCCGTCAACGAGGTAAGGTGAGGAATCAATAAATCTCTAACAAAAACGGCAGCTTCGATTTTCCAGCAAGGATCAAAATACTTAATTGGGTTGAAATGGAGGGAAAATGAGATATAAAATAATGGATATTAACATGAGCGTAGGAAACAATTTACAAAAAAACAAAAAAAAACGAACCAAATAATACCAATAATATTAAGGCTGACCTTTCCAATCAAAATAGACTTTGCCTTCCTAAAGCTACTTCCGAGCTTCTCATATTCAGGAGCAAGCTTCTTACAGTGCCCACACCTGTCACGTTCAGAATTACAATTATGTCCTCTATGATCCCGATAAAATTTATTAATAACTCATATCTATGAATCTTAAATACACTATTTTGAGTTTAACGAATGGTTAATCACATTAAAAAAATCTACGAATTAATCAAAATTAGGAAATCATAACAGATTTATGGATCAACGAATGACGATAGGCATAAAAGAAAAAAACGATTAATCTTAGCTCAATCAAAATTCGGATGATTGAAAAGAGTAAGTAAAGAGCAGTCACCAAGGGGCATAGAACTCAACGAGAGCGCCTCTGTCTTGACCGACTTCCTTCTCGAAGTTATCTTCTGTTAACACGACGACATCGTCTGCTAAAGCTGATACAGCTAACAAAGCCAAGGTACCAAAGGCAAACCAGATCTGATGATACTTCTCCATTTTCTTCTTTTTTTTTCCTTTTTTCTCTGCTTTCTAAATAATCGAAAATGAATTAGAAGAGAGAGTCGTATTTATATGCCACGACCTGCGGTAAAGTTTCAAGGTGTTTCGGATATCGTTTTTTAAAATTATTTTTATTTAAAAATATATTAGAATAATATTTTTTATTTTAAAAAAATTATTTTTTATATTAATACATACTATTCAAAAACATAAAAATATAATTTTAAATTAAAAAATTAGTTAGAATTTAATTTTTTATTTAAAAATTTTTTATATATATTTTTAAAATATTTTAATATTAAATATTTTTTTTTAATAAAAATAAACAACCACGACAGCAATAATGTAAAATGAGAAGTTGTCAGAGGAAAGGGCCCTGCTTTATTTACATTGTGTTCTGTCTGAGGTGGAGTGATTTGATTTGTTCAAATGATGAGCTGTGTTTGTTTTTTCTAGTCTGTGACGTTTTTGTGATTACGTGGCAGGATATGAGAGGTGAAACCTGTGAAATACTGAAAATGGCTTGGCTTCAAGTTACGTTCACAGTTCAAACCCACCCACAAAAGGAGTTTTTTTTTTCTCTCTCAAAAGATGAGGCCGCATTGAACCGAGAAGCTAATAAATAAACTTTGAATTAAATTAATAAATGTTTGCTGCATGCTGTAAAGTAAAATATTTTTAAAAAATATATATTAAAATATTTTTTTAAATTTTTTATTTTTTATATTAATACATTA